AATTTCCCCACAGGTCTGGTCCACGCAATTGCCCATCATTGCATTAGGCAGAATCACTCTTGTATTTAAAGCAGATTGTCCTGTTTAGGAAACAGTTTCAGTATCAGGAATTGCTGTCATTCCGTTTGTTGTTGATAAATTCATTTTCTGTACTAAGATGTAATTGTGTTGTCCTTTTTCTCAATTGCCCCTTACATGCTTATGTTTATAAAACCATTGGTGGGGAGGGGGTGGTGAGGGGAAGGTTAGTTTTTGTTTTTGTGGGGGTTTTGGTTTTTTTGTGTGTGTGTGTGTATGTGTGTGTGTGTGTGTTTTCTTTTTGGTTAATGCAGGTGAGTCAGTCACTCAAGATTCAGTATTGGTCCTTGTTTTTAAGGGCCACCAAGTACAGTTTTATTTCCAGCACTCACACATGTACAGAATTGTCTGGGGAAACTCTTAGGGAGTGAATTTTTTTTAATTTAAATGTTAGCAGTGATACTTAGAAACCCAACAAAAAGAGCTAGATAGAATATCTCTTTTAGGATAGACCTAGTTCTTCTAAACCCACTGATGGGCCCATGAAATACTGTGAACTGCTCAGAGCAAAAATGTAATGAAAACAGGTAGTGTGAGAGTCCTCAATTACCCTGTTTTTGCAGCTGGAACCTAGAAGGGCTTTGGGATGAGGTTCCGTTGAGGTTCCCTGACCAGGCTGTAAACCACATCAAACTGTGAGCTTGTCAGGCAAGGTGACAAGGTCACAACAGTACTATTAGGAAATAATGGAATAATGGTATGACATGGTATAAGAATCAAATATTATATTTTTAAAATAAGATGATTTTCCTCACTTTATATCTGTCTGTTTACCCTTGATGGAGTGTGCTCATATTGGGCTTTTGGAACCTTAAAGTGAAATTAAGACTCAAGAATCTCCTGAATTCTGTGGTAAAAATTAGACAAGTGAGTAGAGAGAGAGACATTGTGGGTACAAAAAGTGTGTGGCCATGGGAACATGATATACCACACTTAGCTTCCTGATCCAGTTGTCAAAGACCCATCTGACAAACCACGGTGTGTATGTCAGTTTCACCTGTGTGGGTCCATCTGGAGATGGTGTTAAATAGTGACTGATAGCATATGCTCTGGGGCCAAGTATAGCTCGTTTGAATTATAGCGCTACCACTTACTACCTGTACCTACTTGAATTACTGTGTGTAGCTCAAAGCCTCGGTTTTGTCATCTATGAAATGGGAATAAAAGTTTACTTATATGATACAATTTTTTCAAATTATACTATAGTAATGCACGGACCCACATGCAGTACCTGGACCTGACCAAGTGCTTACTAAACGTTGGTTATTATTACAAGGTCCTTAAAGGATGCAAAACTTCCTAACAGGATAAGATTACATAGACAAGACTCCCCATAAAATTATGTGTGTTTTATTGCCTTGAAGGTCACATGTACAGGCAGTTATAAATGTTACCCTTTTTGTGTATATTATCATTCACGGGTAATTTGCAGTAAGTCCAAGAAGAAACATGAGAGACGTGTGGCATTACTGCTTGTGACTTATTATGAGACAGTGGTTACCAGACTCAGGGCTGAGAGAAACTTGTTCTTTTTCTCCATGTTGGTTAGACTTGTAGCCTCTAGATCATTGCTGGCCCCAAAGCTCTTGGTGCTCAGTCTTCCTGTTCTTGGAGGTGCAAGGGGTCTTGGTTTTTAGAAGCCAGTGAAGCATGGGCCCAGGGCTAGGGGGTCCTACACTACTACTGTGAACTGCACACTTCCTGGCACTTCTCTGCTTTCACTCTGTTTGTGGTTTACCAGATGTCTGATAGTTGGACTTCTTTGCCTCTACATGATCCCTGTGAGCATAACTATGCATGGGTTATAAAACACGAATCAGACTTCTCCACCAATAAAAGTTCTCTCAGGATAGCAGATTCCCTGATGGCCTTTGCCTGGGCTGGTTACCCTTCCACAGGTAGAGAAACCACTGATTCCAAATCCACTGGTTTTCCATATTATCTTCCTCACTTTATTTTGGTGAAATCCAGGAAATTTTGAAATTAAATCATTTCTGAAGTTGTATGGTCTCCGCAGAAATTAAATCATTTCTGAGTAGGATTTTCTAAATGCCTGCTTCGTTCCCTGTGTAGTTCCAATTTCCTGAAGCTAATTTCTTCCCTCTAATTGTAAGCACTTCGAGAAGAACTAGCTTTTGCAACTCAGCATGAGAGCAAGTAACTCATTTCTTCAGGCTGAGTTGAATGCCGAAGGCTTCCCGAGTCTGCCTGAATACAACTGCTTACGGTACAAAACACAGTTTCCCTGTCCTGTTACTATTATTATATTTTTAGTGCTCAGGTTCCCAAGAGTCAAAGCCTTGTACTTCATATTTCTGAGGACGCTTGCCTTGGTGCAGAGGGTAATGTGGGAAACCTATTTCTCTTCTCTTGTTCCCCCAAAGGATAAGATTTAGAATATGGAAGTTTTAACTTTGCGTTAAATATTATTTGAAAATCACTAGGTTAATTTAGACATATTTGTCAAATTCTAGTATAATTTTAGGTGTCTTGCCATTTGCTCATGAAAATAAAAACATTTTCACGGATTCTGCTTTACCATTAATAAGTAGCTGGAATGTTTATCCAGACTGAGCTTTTGTTGTTGTTGCTTTAGCCCCTCACCCAGTAACTACACGGGGAAAGAGGAGATTGGCATCACTTCTCAGGCAGAGCTAGAACATCTTTTTTTTTTTTAAATATATTTTATTGATTTTTTACAGAGAAGAAGGGAGAGGGATAGAGAGTTAGAAACATCGATGAGAGAGATCGATCAGCTGCCTCCTGCACGCCCCCCACTGGGGACGTGCCCGCAACCAGGGTACATGCCCTTGACCGGAATCGAACCCGGGACCCCTGAGTCCGCAGGCTGACGCTCTATCCACTGAGCCAAACCGGTTCGGCAGAGCTAGAACATCTTACGTTGAGACTAACATTCAGAATTGACCCTTGATTCATTTCCTAATTTTCCTTTCAGTGGTGCATTGAGTCTACTGAATTATTCTGTGGATTTCGTATTCGTCAGCAGAGGGCCAAAGCGTGCTATTTGGTTTAGAAGCAAAACTCCCCTGCTTCCAGGGATGCAGCACACAACCTCCCTCCCTTTCTTCAGAGTTTCCTGCCTTATCGGGCTCTAAATTGGTTCCTAACGAGTATTGTATTAAAACAAAACACAGTGATTATGTTTGCATTGCTCTCGTATTTTAAAAATTCATGTGGTTGGGTTTTAATTTCCTTAATATTGGGTTCTTTTGTTAATGCAACCTTACAAAATAGTCTAGATCCAATCTTGCCCCCTCTGAAAACTTTGAAAATGAGAGTCATAACTTGCCTTTCATTTTTAATCAGAGGTCATAAAAAATAGGCATCAGACCTCTGTAGGACTTTCATCTTCCAGTATTTTTCATTTTCAAGCCACCAAGTAGAAGCTGTGGTTCGTAATTTAGCAAAACATTGTACTGCCTAGCACTTCTTCAGTACTTCTTATGCACTAGAAAAATAGGTTAAGTACTTGGCATTACTTTGATACAGTCGGTACGATGAAGTAAAGTAGACATTAGCATCCACATTCTAAGTGGGGAAACTTTGGGAAGTCAGTTTCACATCGGAAGGAAACGAAGGAGCCGGAATCTGAACATTGGGCTCCCTCTCGTTAGGAGACCACCCACAAAAACGTGTATGTGGTGGTTGTGGTGGGGAAACTGTAGTATAAAGTGAAGCATTGAAAATTAGGTACAGTTGAATTATTGGGGTTAATCACTTTGTTAAATTATATAATTGTCTCACCACTGTGCTGTGCACCTGACACTAATATAAATATTGAATGTCAACCGTAATTGAAAAATTAAATAAATAAAAAGAAAATTAGCTACAAGTAAGATACCAGACTCTCCTGCTCCCTAGGACATGCCAGTGTCCACCCGTGTGCATGTGACAGGGCACAGAGTCTGCCATGAGCCCCTGTCACACCTCAAGGAAGGTAGTGAGTCATTGTCTCCCGTGCCCAAATGTGCTGACCCATCCTTTGCAAATATCCTTCTAAAATGACGGTGGTGGACAAGAAAGAAAATAACTGCACAAGTTGCAAGATAATGATTGTATTTCCTACTTAAGAGATTGTCATATCTCACATTCAAGACTAAATTGAACAAGTGTCCCGATTAGAATTCCATGCATGCACTGAGTCAGGGGCCGTCCAGTATTTCCGTATTCTTCACAAAAGAACAAAAGTCTGTGACTATGTATTTGGGTTTGTTTTCTGTGTGTTTAGATTAGCATTGCAGTTCTCCAAAGAAAGTATCTTTTGTTCGATAGTCGTTGTCCTTTTCAGTGCTGAGAGCCATGAGAAATAGGAACCCAATAATTTCATATTATAACTACTTATTGCAAATTCAGAATCCCCCCATCACTGTCTGTGACTTGGAACCCAGCGTTGGGCCCTGGTACCACATTCTCTTTTTTTAAGAAGCTGAAAATGGGGATTTGTTGGTTTTCGTGGACCATTTTTCCATATCCCACATATGCGTGCAGAGTGTTAAACGAGGGATGTTCCCGAGGCCTTCAGTTTTGACATGAGCTTAGTGTAATTTTCCAATGATGTTGCGAGCTTTTACAAAAAGGACAGCAGGGCCAGAATTGGGAGCTGTTTTGTTGAGGAAACTGGAAGTCCTCCCCCTTTTCAAAATGAAATTACACTGGCTAATCCCACACTATTCATTATAAATTTAAGGTTACATGATCTGCCTCCCTCAGACGAATGTCCCTTCTCCATGTTGAGAACAAGAGCAGCATTTGGCATTTGCTTAGCCCAAACCCAAATCGCTGACCCTTTGTTTTTAGTACTTTGCCATTTTGCTTTTGCTTTTTAAATTTGCTTGTGACTCTGCTTCCCCCATCTTTTTCTTTTTTTTTGGTACAATGATTCTTACCTTGTCTTTCCCCAGTCCGTTTCTGACCTGGAGAGACGTGCAGCATGTTATTGTCAGGACTTCCCGTGCAGGACATTTGAACGCTAATGACTGGAAAACCAATGCTGCTGGTTTTAAGGGTGAGAACTTCTTTCATATTCTGTCACAGGCAAAATATTTTTCTTTTCCCCCCCATTTTAAGAGGAGAGCAGGAACTAGAATGCCTCAAAAGAAACTTTCAATTGTGTGCTAACACATGGAGAGCTAGATCTTTTGATAAATCAAAGGCAGATTCTTTTTTTAAAAAAAATTAAATAATACACATAAGGCAGATGTCCTTGGCTTCCCACATCATATGTTAATTTCTTAAAAGATAACCAACTCCCAAGTATAGTCACCTATGGGGCTCCTGATTGGTTTATTTTCTGACATTGATTATCTGAGTGCTATTTGTAATAATGTATTTAAAACTCCTCACCTTCTGTAGTTATCTACCTTCTCTTAAATAATAATTGGTATATTTTGTTGGCTGCAATACTATTAGTTGCTGGGTCATGCTTTCTATACATTTTGTTTTTATTTTGTTTTTTGCAATTTCTGCAAACAGAAAAACAGGCATACTTCTAAAGCATTACTTTATATAAACTAAAAGTTCTTATGAAACTTTATAATGTGCAGTCTGTATGAAATTGTGCATAATATACTTAAGAGCTAAGTATTTTCCCTATGACTGATAGAGATTATAGTTTCCTCAAACTGTCTTATTAACGGTAGCCATTGTGTTTGTTGTCATTCATAACATATTATAATAAAACGGAAATAATTGGGTAAAGCAGATGTCCTAAAGTTTACTCAATTTACTCACGTTTCAGAGGACCTCAATTTTAATCCATTAACTTAAGTTCAACAAAGATTACTCTTTGTCATATCTGCGACTTAAATTTACTTTCAAATAATCTTATTATCATGATATATTCCTATGGCTGAAAAACATTTCATAGCATAGGAAATATGTACTTGAAAATTGAGCTTTTGGTCTTCAGATCATTGGTTGCATGCTAAATAATCCTGGACAAATCATTTAATTTTTCTGGGCCCTAACTTCTGCGACTTAACCATTTTAGAAGCTGAATGATATTATACATATGTTATCTTACATATGATTTTAATATGGCCTTAGTGAATTATACCCAATGTATGCAAATATTCATGCTGGAAATGTAATTTAAAAATTATGTGCAAATAGCTTATTATTGTCTCATGCTTAGCCAACACCTATAAATATACCAGGCAGGCAGTCCATATTAAATAGTTGTTTGATTAACATCTTCACTGAAGACTTCCCTCTGTTTTTAGAAAAAGAATATCCCGTTGTTTCTGAGTATTATCGAATACCTCTCCATGCTTATAAACTATATAACACAGCAGTGTTCAATGAGCTTTTAATCTAAAAAGTTGTACTTGTCGGGGTCACATTCTCTGAAGCCCAAATCAGGACACTCGATCCCCAAATAGCAATTGTAATACTTTAAATTTCTATTGTTCTCGAAATTCAGTTATTTTGCCACTTGTTTGTTTCATTTGATTAGCTTCCACATGCTCCCAACTCCTACTATATAAATTCCAAGAGGCAGGA